GGGAAAAGAGACCGTTGGGTCCGTCCACGGATAGCTTCTTCCATTCGACCGGCGGAGGCCGCTACAAATCGACTCTCCGTACCAGACGGACGGTGTACGAGACAAATAATAATAATAATGAGGCCAAGTTTCACGGAAATTTGGACGACGACTACGCTGAGCGCAACGTGGATAGCGACGACGACGCTGAAGACGGTGACGACGGTGACGACGAGGTCAGTGACGAGATCAGGCGCTACAAGTACAAGAGATACTACACCGAAAGCGATCACATTATGCGAGCTTTGCGCAACGTCTAGTACGTGTCTTTTTTTGAAACAAACAAACAATCATTCGAGAGGCTTTAGTTTTCTACGTGCACAAAACGTACGTATATATAAGCGCGCCTGCCGAAGCGCGTCGACAAACGTGGAACATGACCGGAGTAGCATCCAGCGTGTCCAAAGTGTTTCGCGAGGCCACCAAGTTTGATCAATCGCGAACCTTCGACTGGAGCAGAGTAGTGGCCAACGTTTATTCGGAAGACTCAGATGAGGAAGAGTTTGAAGAAGAGAGGGTCGTCCTGTTCTCCGAAATTTGTAAACTTTCTCATGAGTCCGCGGACGCTCTGACCGTTTTGGATCTTGTCGACTATCCGACCTTGGAGGACGCACAATTGTTGTACATTGTTTGTACGTATACGCAGCTCAAGACCATACTCCTGAGGAACGCCCCCCTATTGTCAAACTCTGCTCTACAATACTTGGCGACCTACGCTCAATCTCTCGAACATCTTCAAATCAGCAACAACGGTGGCCGTATCAGGAACGAGGGATTGATTCATCTGGCTCCTTTGCGTCGACTCAAGAGTTTGTGTCTGACTGGAATAAGAAACGCCAGTCGAGCTGTCCTTCGAGTGATATTGCAGAACAACGAATCTATATACGCTATCTTGGTGATAACGACGGAACTCTTCACCTCTAAAGATAACGTGACGCACTTCGTCTTTTGCGCTTCGAATCAGTTGAGTCAGGAAATGTACGATTTTGTTTTTTGTAGCGAAACGTTATCTCCGTTTTCAGATAGCGAGTGAGGGTATATATACATATGGACTATACAGCAAAGCTAACCCTACCTTCTCCCTCGACACGACACGACTAGTACCCTATAACCCAAAGCGACAATGGCTCGACTAGGCAGGACCCCATCTCTCCCGCTGACCGACAGCTGCGTACAAGCGTTCGCTCAGTCCAGAGTGTCAAGCGTGGTGGATTGGAGAACAGTGGTGCTTAGTATATACCACGAAGAAGAGGGCTACGCTTGGGACAACGTGGAAGGCCAATTTCACTGTGCGTATACCGAAATTTCAATATTAAGAAGCTTTCCTACGCACATCACATTCTTGGAGTTGGTGCACTATCCGATGCTGCGAGACCGCCACGTCAGTGATTTGGTTCGTTTCTACCCGAACATCAAGACTTTGCTCCTACGTCACGCACCCGGCTTGACCAACGACTCCGTAAAGTGCTTAGCGGACGGTCTACCTAATTTGACTCACTTGCAGATGGGCTCGTGCTATCACCTAGACGACGAAGCCTTGATGTATCTCGCAGAAAAGAGGATCATCGACGTTGGCATACGGAGCCTCTGCATGATCGGACTCGGATTCATACGCCGAGAAACGCTTCACCGATTTCTCAACGCGCATCGAAGACTGACGGCCGTCCTACTCACCGCTAGAGACGTCCCCAACAAGGACCTCTACCTTGGTGAATATACTTTGTGTATTTCTAGCGCACTGTCTCCGCCACTAAGAAACATTGCGCCAACCGACCTAGACGTTATCGAAGGTGTGGACGGTGTTGTGGGTGACATCGAGTACCGAGACCTCGACAGTGACGACGGTGACGGTGACGACGGCTACAGTGACGACTACGACACTGACGCCGACGAATATCTCGAATCGGACGACGACAGAATGCTGGGTCCGATCGTCATAGACACCTTCAACTACGACGAAGAAGAAAACTCAATGGGCGAAGAAGACGACTGAGTTATGCTTTAAAATAAATATTTCACGTGCTTATATTTTTTGAGTCACGAATCGTTCTTTTGCATGCACACTACACTAGTGCCAGTACAAATAGTTTATTTAATGAATTCGATACATTCCACTCACTGTAGATTTACAAAGGCAACAGACAAATTGCTCTCTCGAATTGTAAATCATTGGAAATAGACAATTTAAACATAAGGCGGCGTGGGCACATGGCAAAGTAACTATACACACCGGACAGTTCATGCAGACGACGCAAATCGTCGTGGACGGATCGGACCGCTTCATGGAGATGCTCGTCTTGTCGATGCGCGTGGGATACGGACGTCCTGCGCTCAGCGCCGAAAAAGAATCGCTGTTTTCGAGAAAGGACTTTAGCTTGTTCGGACAGGAAAGATCAAACTTGGAAGTAGCCAATGCTGTTATAAAGTCTAGGCTGTATTTGTTTGCGACAAACTCAATGTCCTTGGTATATTCTAGCAACCAAAATAAATCGCTATTTCTATACACGTCGGACACCTCCTTGATGTAGGTTACACTCGCGCACAATCGAAGATAGGGGCAGCGAGGGTTGTACTTGGCGTGTTCCTCGACTGGGTCGTCGTAGTCGGCTTCCCACGAAAGCAACCGAAGTCCGCAACAAAAGCATTCCACGGTCCGATCGGTCAGGTAATAAAATCCCGCAGATGCCATGTAATCCACGTCAAAGACGTCTTCTTCTTTCGGCCGAGCGTCGAAGGAGGCGAACCTCGCAGTGTAAGTCTGAAACTCGGGCCTAAAGGCAAGCGCTCTTTCGGTCACCACCGCCGAGATGTCTGGACTCAGCGTGCTTAGCGGTGCGTCACAGTTGGATTCGTGCAGTCCTTGGGGAAGTGTTTCGTCCGAGGCCACGATAGTAGAGAGTTGAGTCTTTTGCTGGCACATCGAGCAGCTGATAATCCGCTTCTCCGGATCGTAGGCGAGTCCTGCCATGGCAAAGTCCTTGGGTGTGGGGATACTGTTGCGCAGAGGCCACGTCGCAAAAGTTTTGAAGTCGGACATCACCTTGGCCACAGTCGGGTCGTGGTCGAAAAGTCTCCAGTAGAAAGACATGTTCTTAAGCAAAGTAGACTCTAGAAATAAAGTCGATTTTGAGTCTACAGGCCTTGCAATGTTTGAATAATATGGTGCAGTCGAAACACGACACGCAGTGTCCGCACGGCAAGTAGGCAATGTTAGCCGGAGCCTTCCTGCATACGATGCACATCTTAGTTGATTCGTCTCGTGACTTTATAGCGGAATAGTGCGTATCACTGATCGCGCTATCTGTCACAAAGTTACCCCACCTACCGATAGCCTTGTGATCGAACGAAGGAAGGGCGTTCACTGGCTCAAACAGAGTGTGACTGCCCAACGGAGTCGCCTTGCTGCTCCGAATGGCACTCACCATCGCCGATACGTTCAAGGGGTGCGTCAGGTTGGCCGTGTACAGAGTACTCATAGTCCTGTTGCGGAACTTTGGGTCCTTGACGAGATCGTCGATCTCGGGAAAGTGAGACGCCCAGTACATCTCGCTCCTGTAAAACTTTTCGACTGCATCGTGCACGTAGTAATAGGTCTTGTTCACTCGTAGAAACACGCAATTGGGGGACCTGCGGGCGTGTAGCAGCCACGGATCGTCTTCTTCACAGTCGAGGATCGAAAATACTTGCACCCCGCAGTAGAAACAAACGATTATGCGGGTCACTATCTGTTCGCTGGAGAGGTAGCCCTGCTCGTCGTCTTGCGAGCAGAAAAAGCCGGCCTTTGCGAACGCAGGGCCTCGAACATCGTGAAAGGTCTTGGCTCGAATGTTCTCGTCGACGTATCTCTTGTAGACCGGCTGAGAGTAGCTCGGCAAGACGGACACGACCTTTGCTACGTTCAGCCGCGGGTCCCTGTACTGCTCGAGAAACTTGCACGACATTCGGCGGTGAAGGTCCATCGGGTGAAAGGTGAGCGCCTCCCAATCCTGTTCGGCGACTTGAAATTTGCAGTGCCGACAGTAGATGTGTTTCCGGTCAGCGCAATATTCTAGGCCGGCGTAGGCAAAGTCTCGAGGCGTGGCTCTGGTGCGAAGTCGCCATTCGGCGAACGTCTTGAAGCGACGCACGATTTCCTTGCTTATGGGATCCGTAACGAGGTGCGCCATAGCGACGATAATGAGAGGAGCCCTCTACTCGGTGCGCAATATATATTCTCTCCATATCTAGGCTGACCTCGACTGGGAGCGGAGTCGACCTCCTATAGGCGGTAGCAATTTTGTTTATTATAAAAATGTCTGTCGCAGAAAATTTTTTAGACCTGTTGAAAAGGGGACGATGTCAACACTCGGTGAATCACGAAGACGCCACCGATATTTTATTACCCGTATTCCGGCAGCAGATAAATCCAAACGTGTCTTACAGGAGACTTAACGATAAATACGTACCCACGCTCCAGAACGACATCTCGACCTTACTCGGCTACTCGTCCAAGAAACTCATGCAGCACATTACCAAGGCGCACACGACGCTCCTGACCAACGAAGTTGTGGAACCGGTTGCACATATGCTCTTTGGCGTTTTCAAGCTCTGTAGTTACATACTGATGACGGTCGACATGGAACAGATGGCCATCCCAACGCTCCTGAATGACAATACAGTATTTCACTGCGTAATGGGAATCGAATACGTACGAAACAGTCTCAACATACTTAGGAAAACCTCTTCCTCGTCGACCACTCAGCGCCTCATCAGGGATCTGAAGCCCTACGTGGACGCGTACGCTACTGCCATTCTGCGCCTGCTACTCCTCTACATCGAAGAGATCTTTTCTCATGCGCGCGAGGCGACTCGCGGTATGGCGGTGGGCGCAAGGACGGCAGCCAAGATTACGGCGGTCATGCTAGTATCCCTGTGCAACTACGCGGCGGTGCGCGTAAAGTGCAACCCCATCTTTCAGTTTGAGAGCGCCATGGGCCACAACTGGCTCGACGTGGCCAACGGTCTCAGCCTCGTGCACAGGATCACGCAGCCACACACCGTCAACGAAAACATTGTCGGGGCCATTCGCGTAAAGTTTTCGCAAAACAACAAGCCACAGGACGTCATCAACCTCCTGGTCGAAGAGAGCAACAGGTTGTACACGAGTAACGTCGAGAACGGAGTGTACCGCTGCGACACCGACTACATGACGCTCCGAACCGTCATGCCTGCCGAGCGAGTCACGGACGACGTCAACATCATCGATCCGGCCATCTCCACGACGCTGCGTGACCACAACGAGCTCATCATGAAGAGTTCCGACACGATCCCCGTGCCGCGGACCAACCACTACGTACTAGCCCTGCAGAAGGAGAAGGCGCCCGCCACCGAGGTGTCGGTCCTTAACATCGCCTCCATAATAGAACAGTGTATGAGCAACGGGCGCGTGGACTCTCGCTTCGTCGAAGTGCACAAACAGTCGGACCAGGGCACGCAGGAGCTCAACAAATTTTACAGCCAGGCCTGTTGCGTCTCGCCCCGTAACCTCGGTCTTTTTCTACAGTGCCTAAACTTTGAGATGATGGACTCGGACATGTTTGGGGCCACCTTACAGTGCCTCAAGATGACCAAGGGCATACCCACTCCGCGCCAGGAAGAAATTGCCACCTACTCAAACACGGCGTTATTTCGGATGGCCACCAACCTGTTTTATCACACGCGTTTCTGCAGGAGCTACCGCGGCGAAAACACCTACCTGTACGACTCGCGCTTCTTTAACGACTTTCTACTCTGGGTCCAGTCGCCCAATTATCTGGAACACCACATCTCGCCTAGCGTGTCGTCGTCCATCATCTCGTGGTGCACGTCCATGTCTACTGCCATGCACACTACGCGCGACGCCAACGGAGCGAAGTGCGCCATGGCGGCCATATCCACGTGCGAGGTGGACCAACGCGTACTAGCCGACTTTTTGAACATGTTCATCAAGCTCTTTATCGAGGACGAGACCGAGATTAGCGTCATCAACAAGAAATTTCTCGAGAAGGAACTACTCAAGGCTTTTGCTTCCGTGTCTAATTGCTACAACCTGTTTAGGGGGCAGTTTGTTTCGGCGACGGCCTTGCGCCTCTTCCTAGCCCGTTGTAGGTGGTCCGTGGCCGACGACGTGGAAGTCATCGTTCCGGTCGAAACGAAGTTTCTCAACAGACTGATATGCGACAGCGACGACCTGTTGTCCAACTCGATGCGAGACAAGCTTCGTAAAACCATGGAAGACGTCTCCACGATGATGGCGCCGCTGCTCTCCAATCCATCCACGTCCACGCCTCGCAGCAAGGACGACGACAGCAACGTGCCCGTATGCATTTGAAATAAAAAACCGCCAACGCCCCCATATACATTAACAAAAAGGTTCGGTGACTGATTTGAACGATCGAGGGAGTAAAATGTTGAAACAGGTCACGTTCGTCGATATTTTTTCGCAACAAAAAATGAGGACCCTGCGAGACTATCTCCATTGCGAACTGGACCTTTCGGTATCGATACCCTATAAAATCTGGATCGCTATCGCAAATTTCTTTATTCAAAACAACGTCCCATCGGTCGTAGAGGGAGCAGAGTGTTGTCAGAAAGACAGCTCGTCGTCCCACTATCTACTCGTCTTTTCATACAGGGACAAGGACGCCAACCGAGTGGTGGTGGACTGTATAAACTTCATCAACGTGCTGCGCGATCTCAAGGTGCACGACGTGATATGCACCAAGCACTACGTCTACCTCTACGTCCGTCACTCGTCGGCGCATCACAACGTGCATGCAATTCTACCCTTTCTCCACCACGTTCTGCAAAGCTATGTAAACGACAAGACGACCACTTTGCCACTCGATTACACTTTCGATCCCCTGGAAGAACAAGAATCCTTCTTCGACGTGATTCCAGTCACGTACCACGGCACCTACGAGGTGACCACCTCTCTACCGGCGCTCGTGGCCAAAATCAAACCCAAGGAAGACGGACAGTACGTGTCAGATCGCCTTTATTGCGAGAAGCATTGGATGTGTCTACACAATCTGGTCGTCTCGAGGCTCGTCGACTGTTTCTACTACATCACCATACAGAAATTGCAGATATTAAAAGATGTTACAAAGTCAAACACTACGTCCACCAACGACTATGGCATTTACAAAGTGTCGTATTACAAGAAGTGACTCGCTTTCGCTTGTGTTTGTCTGCTTTGCCTAAAATAAACGCTTACGCTAGCTTGCACGCTGCTATACATCTGTCTCTCTATGTGTACGCGTCTCTCTATGTGTGTGTGTGTGTGTGTGTATCCAAACAAACGTTCTTTTATTCACAACATGTCGTTGTAAATGGCGTCGAAACTAGGAAATCGGAGGTTGCTCAGTCGCCGCTTGTTCTTCTTATAGGCCCGTCTGATGAGGCTAGTGGTGAACGTGCGAGACCAGTCGCTGCTCTGTCTAAAGATGCACAAGACGCGCCGTAGATCCATCGTCTTGATGCAGGGACACAGACAGCGGGTCTCGTACCACTTGTAGACGGCAGCAAGGGCTTCCACGTCCGACCAATTGTCGTAGTCGTCATCAAACTCCATAGCACCCATCATGTAGAGCGCCGAAAGCGCCTTGATGGCGCTGGAAACCGCAAGGTGTTCGCCGCTAGATTCGATAACGTAAGCTCGTATGTCCACCGCAGGTTCCAACGCGTCGCTGGCTTTTAGGGCCCTTACGACGCTCGCAACGTCGGCGAGACTCACGCGGCACGCCTTGTTCTGCCCCATGGTCGTGATCGATCGCGTGACGAAAGCGTTTGTTGTCGCGTCCCTCTCTACCACGCGGTCTTCGTACACAAACTCTACTGGCTTTACGTACCACGCTAGCCGGTCCTGTTGCGTGGCGTAGAGCGCGGTGTACTGAAGCAGCTTCAGGTATTTCGTGACAATCTCCTCTACTTTCTGCCGACGCTCGTTCGCCTTGGGCCAGTCCTTGGACATTGCGGCCGCTCGCCTCCGCGTAGTGGACCCTTCCATAGGTGCCGCGGCATCGACCGCCGCCAGTAAAATGTCAAAGAAGCTAGTCTCCTTCGTTGCGGCGTTCATCATTGCGCGAAACAGGTCCACCTTCTTGCCGTCCACCTTTTTAGATGAGCTTATCATAAAGGGGAGCATCTCGTAGCCGCCGTACAGCAAGATTGGCACCACAAACGACAGCGGGTGAAGATCGGAACCACTGACGCGTACAGCGCGAGTAAAGAAATCGTCCTTAATGTGGTAGTAACCCGCCTGACGACTGGGAAGAGACCTGTCCAGCAGAGACACGGCGTGTTGCACGCCGCCAAACTCGAACCTGTGTTCGTCCTGTCGCTTCTTACTCTCGCTGTACTGGCGGGCCGAATACACGTAGACGTCTCGCGAGGGTATCTTTTCCACGACCGCAGCTACCCCGAGGAGAATGTCCGAATCGTCGGTGACAACGACGGACACGTCCCAGCGCTCGTCGTTTGGCGGCGGACACATTAATGAGTCCACGACCTTGATGTCGCCTTCCCCCACGTAGAAGGGCGGCAAGATCGTAAAGGACGAGAGTTGGTACGCTGCAGCCGACTCGTTCGAGTAGCCGTCAATCACCTCTTTGGCGTAGAGTGGGTTCTCGAGAAGCGTGGCATATTCCCTGACGTGCTGCATCACGTCCGAGGCCGCGGTCAATCGGCAGATTGTGGCCATGGCGTCTTTGCCGTAGCGTGCCAAGTTTTTGAGCCTTCCGTTCAGGACAGACTGCAGTCTCGAATTTTCGATGGTCCGAACTCGCTTGGTGTCCTCGCCAGACGAGTTTTTGATGACGTTGGTCAGCTCTTTACTGCGACGCTTGTACTGCTCGGGCCACTTTACCGTCGGCGACATTCCGTCAAACACCACCACCACGTCAACTTCCACACGCCTGTTTAGGGACAGCCCCTTGACGACCCTCTTGACCGTCCTAGATATGCAATGAAACACCGTCGTGAAGAAGGCGTCGTATCGGATGCAGCGTTCGCCCGCTCTCGCCTCGTACTCCTGGTCCCAGTCCAAATCTCGAAGAACAAACGCGTCGTCTTGGATATAGTCTTCGACGTAATCGCCAACCAGATCTCCGTTGGTCTCGCGAACGTAGTGTTTGATAATCTCGAGGTTCAAGGCTTCCCACGCTCGCTCTCGTTCCTCTCGGTCGGCGATCGCTCGTGCGGCATCGATCTTGTCCGCAAACGTCTTGAGATGGTGGTCCGTCAGCGAGTGCTTGCAGTGGTGTAGAAAAATGTTACCGTCGACGACGACTTGAATGCGCGCCGACTCTCCGATCACGAACGAGGACGTCACGCTCTCATAGTCAAAGTGACGCGCAGACGGCGTAGGCGAAAAATACGTCCGCAAAACGAGGTTCGTGGCCGTCTCGACGTTACTGCCGGGGTCGTCCAAGAGTTGTAACTGAGACTCGAGTAACGGTGCCAGTTCCTCCTCGACGGCGCGGTTGCAAACTGCGTTGAGTGTATACCAAAGGTTTCGGATACCCATGGTGTCAATACGTTTATTGTGTGGTTGAGGGGCGACGCTTAAGTACTCTCATCACACAAGGTCACGCCAAATAATGGAGGTTGTGTTTTTTTATTGGACGAGAAAGTGATACAGTATGCGTAATCCCTCTACCTGGGTGAAGGGCATCGGGTGACCTCCACTCGAGTGGGTAAAGTAACGCCCGCTCCCCTTATTTAGATAGAGGAAGGGCTCTTGTAAAATGAACTTGAGGGGACAGAAGCGCTTGTTTGTTTCGGGATCGAGATGAGTGGAGAGCACAATCGAATTGTCAAAGCCGGGTAGCTCGAGGGTGCTGCCTGTGGGTACGTGCGTGTATGCCGTTTTGCTCGGCACAAAGCTGACGATCGGCTCGTTGGTTATGTTGTTGATCAGAGATGGAATCGCGGCAAGACCCCTGTTTATTCTCTCTTCCCAGTCGCTGTGTTGGAAGAGGACGTTGTCCACGGTGCGCAGCACGTCTAGTAGCCGAATCTTTTTCGTTGCCGTCATGGCGTTGGCAATCACGCTCGGAATTCCTATCGTCTCGCACAGTCGGGGTAGTATGGTCTTGACGGTCGACTCGACGCTCTCGACAATTTTCTCCACCACGTCCTCTTGCAGGCCGGAAGCCTTGAGGCAACCCACGCCGCCACTCGCGATGCCTCCGCCGCGCTTCTTTCTCACGGTTCCGTCCAGGTAGACCATGACGGACGACGTCTTGACGTTGTTGATGTCGTTGACCACGTCGGAGATGGTGGGTTGCCGCACGCCCAGAAGGACCTCCCTCTTCTTTAGCGAACGGAGCTCGGCCGTGGCCACGCCGCGCGGAACGTAGAGGCACGAGTCGTAGGCAAACTTGTACGCGTTGCGGATGGCGGCGGCTGTAAACAGGTAGTCTCCGTTGTAGGCAGAACTAAATAACTCCAGGTTGTACATGGCGCGCACGCCCAGGGCTACGGGCTCTTCGCCGACGCCACCAGTTCCGCCAAAGGGCAGATTCGTGACTGTGCTTGCCAGCATTGTTATTGCGTCTGCATTCAACCAGCCCGCCTGATAGGTCTGACTCGAAAAGATTGTCTTCTCGTCGCTCCAGTCGCCTTCCACGTAATCGTTGTACGCCGGAACGTTTTTGAGAAACACGTAGGACCAGAACATGGGGTAGCGTTCCACGAGCTTGGGGTGATTCCTAACCAAATACGTGACGTGATCGTACGGATCAATCACCGATTTGTACTGGTCGTATAGGACGCGCCCGACAAAAGCCAAGTCTGCGCTCTCGTTGGTGTAGGCCGCCCTGCGTGGAATGAGGATCTCGATGGGCAGTACGGATCTCTGGTCCGAGACGCAGACGCGGACGTTATCGACGCTAAGAATCCAGGGAAAGGTTCTGCCCAAAACCTCGTAAACGTGTTTTCTAAAGAGACGTTCGCTACCGGCTCGATGGTCGCTCGCGGAAGTCACCGCGTTTCGGAGCGTGAGACTGTCGTAAATGTCGGATCGCTTGTTCTTGTCGGTGTTTTTCCAGAAATATGCCAGCATCATGTCGTAGACTATGGTCGCATTAGATGCTACGTTTCTTTGGTCGGGTGTCGTCAGTGGGACGGTGTCTAGTCTGTGATTCGCACTAGTACTACTACTGCTACTACTAGTAGTAGTAGCAGTAGTAGTACTAGTAGTTGCAGTAGTAGTAATAGTGGTCATGGGAGCCGTAGTTGTATGCACAGTCGTATTGAAAGGGGAAGTTGCGGCCGTGGTGGTGCTGTGGGGATTGTTGTAATTGTCGATTCGCGAAGAAGGCAGGAATG